CATGCATGTGGGGTGCATGCTTTCATGCTGTTTCTGCCAAATTCTCACTCTGCCATCTGCATGATGCAACTGGAAACATGATTCATCGAACCACATGACTTTTTTCCAATGCTCGACTGTTCAATCCTTGTGTTCCTGTGCTTGGGTAACTGTCATGGTAAACAATCTGCTTCCCTATTTATAATGGTCTGGCCCTCTAGCAACTTCAGCACAAAATTATAGCTAATTTGCCTACAAATGTCAGGTGGTCATAATAATCTGGACACTCAGACTAGAGGCCCGGTGCACAAAATTCATGCATGGGGCAGGGTGTCCCTTAGCCTGGCCTGCACCCTCTCCAATCTGGGACCCCTTGGGGGATGTCCGACTGCTGGTTTAGGACCGATCGTTTAGGACCGCTGTCTCCTAAACGCTTGCCTGACTGCTTGCCTGATTGTCCCTAATCACTTCTGCCTGCCAGCCTGATCACCCCCTAGCCGCTCCCCTGCCAGCCTGATTGATGCCTAACTGCTCCCGTGCCAGCCTGATCACCCCCAACTGCCCTCCCCTGCTGGCCTGGTCACCCCCAATTGTCCTCTCCTGCCAGCCAGATGGCTCCCAACTGCCCTCCCCTGGTGGCCTGTTCGCCCCCAACTGCCTTCTCCTGCTGGCCTGATCGCCCACAACTGTCCTCCCCTGCCAGCCATCTTGTGGTGGCCATCTTGTTACAACATGAGGGCGGCCATCTTGTGATGACATCACGTGACGCCACCTAGGCTTTTATTATATAGGATTACACAGAGCATGTTATAATCTTTTTCCATACTATAGACCAGCAGTTCTCAACCTGTGGGTTGTGACCCCTTTGGGGGTCGAACGACCCTTTCACAGGGGTCACCTAAGACCATCAGAAAACACACATATAATTGCATATTGTTTTTGTGATTAATCACTATGCTTTAATTATGTTCAATTTGTAACAATGAAATGGGGGATCACCACAAAATGAGGAACTGTATTAAAGGGTCATGGCATTAGGAAGGTTGAGAACCACTGCTCTAGACCTTTATTGATAAATCACACGCCAGTACATCAAACTCAACACATTCCAGATTCAACTGTGCTGTTGGGTGTCAAACTCAGTTAATGTGTCACCATCAGAAGTCAGCTATTGCAGTCAAGTTGCAATTATTTGGACCTCTGCCCTACTTACCTTATTTCCTTGATATTGTCTTTCTTTCCTCCCCTGTCCCCCTTTGAACTTCTACTCTTTCTAATTCCCAGCTCAGATGTTACCTCCATTCTGAATTCATTCCTATGCCCCAGCCAGTTAGTCTGGCTTCTTCCATGGTACTTAGAACTTCATCTGTGGTGTCACATATCATGCATTCTGTCTTCTACCTCCAAGTTGGTGAAA